GGGCAGACTCGACGGCACATAACAACAACAACAACAAAAGCAGTTAATACTACATGGCTCTTGGAAGGCAGATTTGGAGGCAGACAAGATTTCCTGTCTGAAATTCTCCTGTGAGGTTGGGTCACCATGAATGACTTTCCACTCAACTGTTGGTAACAGCGTTTTTAAAAAATGATCCTTAACCTCTTGGAAATGCTGAACGGAAAAGTAAATTGTTCTCTCTAAAGTGAAAAGTGTATCTTCATTGTAATTTTTGCTGAGATAAATGAGAAGCACAATGGTATTTAATTTCTTTGATTTTGCTTCTCAGAGAAGATGTTTGGCCCCAAGCAGGGCTCCAAGGCATTCAGTCTCAAGCCATGCACTTAACTCCATGTCATGGCATAATATGTACATGCATGATGGGATATATAGAGGAAATACCTGATGGCTGAATACTTTATTAGCTTTGAACATCTAGAGCTGCTGGTGGTAACTAATTTGCCTCTGCAGCCTAGCTGGTAAGATCTGGTGAAAAACTAAGGCAAAGCCCTGAAATAGAAGAGTGCCCTGGCTTGGAAAAGCCCTACAGACCCTTATAAAGTGCAGCATTTGGATAACGTGAGGCAGGAAGGAACCAGGAATATCTTAATGGTTTCAGCAATGGATAGGAGAGAGGAGGCTGTCCAGTGACCATATTCTTCATATTATGGAGTACTTTCTGTGATAACCTTTGCCCTTGTATTAAGTGCCAAAGTATATATGTAAACATCAGAGATATGTTCCCTAAAGCCTTTTGTAATTGTTGTTGTTGTTATGTGCGATTGAGTAGCCCTGACTCATGATGACCCCCCCCTTGGGTTTCCGAGGCAGTATCACTACGGAAGTAGATTGTCCAACCTTCCTTTCGAGGAGTGGCTGGTGAGTTTGAACTGCCAGCCTTCTGGTTTGCAGTCAAGTGCCTTAAGAAATATGCTGCCAGAGCTTTATGATTAAATACTAGAAAATTTAATTTACTCAGCAGCATTATATTGAGAGACCAAGAGAAAACTAAATGAAAGAAACTCCTTGTTCTTAAATAATTAACCAACTACCAGCAAAGAACAGAAAAGGTAATTGCTGATAATTTTTGGTGCTCACTAAAAGTTTTTGAAAAAAAAAAAAAAAGTCTTTGTTTCCTACATATTTAAGCAAACATCAAAAAATACTCTTTAGCAGTTTAAATAGGTATAAAAGACATAAATTTTTTTAGTTATAAATATTGACATTTCAAAATTATATTATTTATGTTAAATGTTAAATGCATCAAAAAGAACATAAATATCATAGTAATTGTCATCTATTGAAAAAGTATCTGAACTTATTTTTTAGGAGTTGTTAGTTTCCTTCAAGTCTGTTTGGACTCCCAGAGACCCCATATATACACAGTAGAACTGCTCCACAGGCTTGTCAAGACTGTGGTGCTTTGCAAGCAGATCCCCAGGTCTGTCTTTTAAGGCACCACAGGGTGGATTTGAACTCTCCTCCTTTCAGCAAGTAATTGAGCATTTAACTGTTTGTGCCGC